CCAATACTTTCCTTACCTTCTGGTGCAGCTTCCCTTTGTAATTGCATTTCCTTTTTGATCTTTCTGCAACAATTCTTCTCTGGAAACATACGAAGCTGTTCCCCACTCCCTCCTCCCTCTGACTTTTAAAGTGGAGATCTATGCTAGATTTGGATCTGCTATAATTGGTTCTAATTAATGTCCCTGCCCTCAGGCTGTCTTTGAGTGAATGACTCGATGTAACTGAGCAAATTCAATTTTTAAAGGATCTTGAGAATTTTTAACCTGAAAGAACATGTGCAGGCAGTATACTGTTACATTACCTCTTTCTCCTCACCAGCCAGTCACTTTTTAGACTAGTGGATTGTTGCTACTACCCCCAAAATTTCATCAGAAAATACTATTTCTGTGGTTATGAATGACCTCCTCATTTGTAGACTGCTTTTTTTCCTGTATTACTAAAGTGGAAAAAATTTGAGGACAGAGAACATACATTGCATATAATAAATTCACAGTAAATATCTGTTGAGTGACTACATGAAGTTGAGTTCAACATTATTTAGCACAATAATTATAAGCTAAACATAAACAACTTCTCACATAGACCCTTTGTGTTCTGTTTTCCACATCTATAAAATAAGCATAATATTTCCTAATTCAAACAGTTGTGATGATTCAGTGAGATATTTGTGAAATTATCATAGAATTGTACCAGCACATAGGAGACATTCAAAAAGAGTCTTTTCTCTTCCCCTGTCTATTTACAGAATCCATTCAGCTGGTATTGAGGGTTCAAATATTGAACCTGTGTACATACAGGTTTTTTTTTCCTATTTCTGCATAACATGCATATGGATATTTTGGTGGGATTTCTGGACACAATCAACAAACTTTTAATCTTATGTTATATATACAGGTAGTCCCTGACTCACGATGGGGCTCTTCTGTTCTAACAACTCTGTCAGAAGTCGATTCTGGCATAAGTTGAATACCTCATTTTTTTTCCCCTTAGTTTTCATTATTATTGCCTTTTATCATTATTATAAATATGATCTTTATTTGTCTTTGGGAGTTAGAAACGTTTCATATAAACTTACTAATATATTTTAATAAAGACATACATATTGCTAATGATAAGATGTACAAAAAAAAAAAAAGAAGGTCATAAGTATGATTTGTGGTAACTCCAAAACGTCCTAAGTTGGGACTACCTATATATATATATATACACACACCTGTGTGTATATATATATATGTATATATATACGGAGCCCTGGTGGTGCAGTGGTTAAGAGCTCAGCTGCTAACCAAAAGGCCGGCAGTTCAAATCCACCAGCTGCACCTTGGAAGCCCTATGGGGCAGTTCCACTCTCCTGTAGGGTTACTATGAGTTGGAATCGACTCAGCAGCAACAGGTTTTATACACACACACACATATACATACATATGTATATATAGAGAGCCCATTTTCCCAATGAGGGTGAAAGAGGAAACTAGAGTAAAGTACCCTCATAGTAAGGAATTGTCTTTCCTACCTGTACTATTACTGCGTGTGTGTGTCTTGTGAAGGAATGTTCAGTTTATTGTATTGCACTAAGATGCAGTTATCCTGAGGAGCCCATAAGAGTAAAGCCTCAGATCTGGGAATAGAGTCTAGTCTGAAGGACTAAGCCTTTTCTGTTTTCTGTTGACAATAGCCAAGGATGGAGTCTAGTCCTTAGACAGGAAAGTTTAACTGAGTAGGTGGGCCCAAAATTGATATGAGACAAGATTTGATCCCCAAAAGTCAAGAAATCAGAATGTTTAGAAGTGTAATGTTGAGTAATTACCGTTAAAGAAATCTGCCATGATCCACCATAAGGTAGCAAACTGGGAGCCAAGAAGGAAGAACATAGATAAGATCTGTTTGTTTTTTGTCTTTTTTATCCCTTGCTATATTTGAGCCCATTGTTGCAGCCACTGTGTCATTCCATCTCGTTGAGGGTCTTACTGTTTTTTGCTGACTCTCTACGTTACCAGGCATGATGTCCTTCTCTCCAGGGATTGGTCCCTCTTGATAACATGTCCAAAGTACATGAGAAAAACTCTCACCATCCTCGCTTCTAAGGAGAATTCTGGCTATACTTCTTCAAGACAGATTTGTTTGTTCTCCTGGCAATCCATGGTATATTCCATGTTTTTCACCAACACTGTAATTAAAAGGCGTCTCACAGTTTAAAAGGCTAGAATTCCCAATTCAGGGCACCAGCTGCAGGGGAAGCCTTTCTTTCTCTGTCAGCTCTGGAGGAAGGTCCTGGTCATCAACATTCCCCTGCTTTAGGAACTTCTAAGCATAGTGACCTCGGGTCCAAAGGCACTCTGCTGCTGGCGCTTCTTTCTTGGTGGTAATGAGGTCCCTGTCTCGCTTTGCTTCTCTCTTTTTTTGTCTCTTGTAAGATAAAAGGTGATGCAGGCCACACCTCAAGGAAACTCCCCTTACATATGATCAGGGCTGTGACCTGATTAAGGGTGTTGCATCCAACTCTAATCCTCTTTAACATAATCTAATCTTGCCTTATCAACCATAGGCAGAGATTAGGATTTATAACACATGAGATAATTACATCAGATCACAAAATGGAGGACAACCACACAATACTGGAAATCATGGCCTAGCCAAGTTGACAGATATTTTTTGGGGACACAACTCAACCTATGACAATGTCCAAAGTACCTGAGACAGTTTTACCATCCTCAGTTCCAAGGAGCATTTTGGCTGTACTTCTTTCAAGACAGACTTGTTCATTCTTCCAGCAGTCCATGGTGTATTGAACATTCTTCAACACCACCATAATTCAAAGGCATCAATTCTTTGGTTTTCCTTATTCATTGTCCAGCTTTCACATGCATGTGAGGTGATTGCAAATATCATGGCTTGGTTCAGGTGCACCTTTGTCTTCAAAGTGACATCTTGTTTTTCAACACTTTAAAGAGGTTTTTTGCAGCAGATTTGCCCAATGCAATACGTCTTTTGATTTCTTGACTGCCGCTTCCATGGACATTGCTTGTGGATGCAAGGAAAATGAAATCCGTGACAACTTCAGTATTTTCTCTGTTTAGCGTGATGTTGCCTATTGGTCCAGTTGTGAGGATTTTCTTTATGTTGAGGTGTAATCCGTAATGAAGACTGTAGTCTTTGATCTTCATCAGTAAGTGCTTCAAGTCCTCTTCCCTTTCAGCAAGCAAGATTGTGTCATCAGCATATTACAGGTTGTTAATGAGTCTCCCTCCAATTCTGATGCCGCATTCTTCTTCATATAGTCCAACTTCTCGGGTTATTTGCTCAGCATACGGATTGTATAGGTATGGTGAAAGGATACAACCCTGACACACCTTTCTTGATTTTAAACCACGCAATATCCCCTTGTTCTATTCGAACAGCTACCTCTTGGTCTATGTACAGGTTCTGCATGAGCACAATTAAGTGTACTGGAATTCCCATTCTTCACAATGTTATCTATAATTTGTTATGATCCACACAGTTGAATGCCTTTGCATAGTCAATAAAACACAGGTAAACATTTCAGGTGTTCTCTGTTTCAGTCAAGATCCATCTGATATCACCAATGATATCCATCATTCCACATTCTCTTCTGAATCTGGCAATTCTCTGTCAATGTACTGCTGCAACTATTTTTGAATTATCTTCAGCAAATTTTACTTGTGTGTGATATTAATTATATTGTTCGATGATTTCTGCATTGTGTTGGAATATGTATATATTTTACATATGTAAAAAACCCCTTTTTCCCATTCCTCTCACTTAAGACCAGACTCAAACTAACAAAAATGTTTCTTTCCAAAAGTTTATCTTTAAGATAGTTGTCTGACAGCCTGTATTTACAACCTGAGTGTGAATGTTTTTTTTGCCACTCAAGGAGTACAACAATGTCAAAATCAGTTAAAAAAATTCAGTAAGGTCATTTAAGATTCGGTTTAAAATCTCTGTCAGCTTTTATTTATATCATGTTTTTATTCCTTAGACTATACATTTGTGAAATAAGATGTGGCGTAAAGCAAAGAGGGCATTAGAACAGAAATATGTCCACATCAATTTAATTCTTCACTTAATTGAAAATAGGGCATGACCCAAGATGCTTAATAAATCCAACAGGCTCTTCACCTACTCTTAGAATCTAGCGCTGGGTTTTTTTATTTGTTTTTAAATGGCTGTTAGAAAGTTCTTTTTATCTAAATCATCTCATGAGCAGTTTATATATGGGGTTATAGAGTGTTTTACTCAGAAAGGAGACTAAATTGTTAATCCTGCCTTTGATGTTTCTTGTACATTGATCTATTTTTCTGCTCTCAGTAATAGTTTCTTGGAAGTTGTCTTAGTCATCTAGTGCTGCTATAACAGAAATACCAGAAGTGGATGGCTTTAACAAAGAGAAGTTTATTCTCTCACAGCCCAGTAGGCTACAAGTCTAAATTCAGGTCATCAGCTCCAGGAGAAGGCTTTCTCTCCGTGTCGGCTCTCGAGAAAGGTCCTTGTGATGCATCAGTCTTCCCTTGGTCTGGGAGCATCTCAGCACAGGAACCTCAGGTTCAAAGGATGCGCTCTGCTCTCAGCACTGCTTTCTTGGTGGTGTGAGGTCCCTGTGTGTCTGCTTGCTTCTCTCTTTCACATCTCAAAAGAGATTGGCTTAAGACACTGTCCAATCTTGTATACCTCATCAGTGTAACTGCCACGAATCTATTTTATTTGATCATAGTGATTGAATTTACAACATATAAGGAAATCACATCAGATGCAAAATGGTACACAATTATACAATACTGGGAATCATGACCCAGCCAAGCTGACAGATATTTTGGGGGGACACAATTCAATCCATGACAGAAGTTATAAAGGATTGTTAAACACCTAATCATGCTACATTTTCGGTATTTATCTCAAAATGTTATCCTTTCTTCGGATTTTGTTAAATTTTCTTGAGGAGCTTATGCTTACCTCCTAAAAGCTTCTTTCTCTACTATAGAGTCCTAACCTGGATACAGACTCAGATCCTGATTTGCCTCTGCTTCACCAGCCAGCTGTATGGTTTTTGGAAAATCTCTTCACTTCTTGGACCTCCATTTTATCAATAAAATGTGAAGTTTACCAAGGTGTCCTCTTAGGGTATTCCTTCTTAAATATTCATTGACATAAAGCAGGTGTTCAAAAATGCTTATTACTTATGTAAAGTAATTGATAATACTAAATTGTACACGTGAAAAACATTGAATTGCTAAATGTTGTGTTATATATATCTTTATAGCAATTAAAGAAAACCTTTCGAAGGAATAAATATTAGCTTGTTTTTTACATGCATGTTTGCCCAGAATTATGAGGGTCTCTCTGGCATAAATACAGTGAGAGGCCTGGCTGGGAAAACGGGAAAAGGGGCATGCTGAAGTCCTCCCTCCTGTAAATATCCAACATGTGGTGTCATGAAGTTCAAGTCTGAGAACATTAACAAGATGCATCTAAAGCTTTTTGAAGAGTGATGACCAAACCTTGATACTGAGATTGTTTCAAAGTTTACAACTCTTACAGACATCAAGAGAACTAGGAGGAGTTGAAGAGAGATGTTCTCTGTACCCTGCTACTCATACACAAATGTGGCAAGAAAGCACAACAGACCGCGGATCGACTGTGGAGACATACAATGTTGGCAATTCTTAGGTAACTTAAGATTCTCTTGGCCTCTCACCAATTATAGAAGAGCTTTGACTGTCAAATTTCCCAGTACTTTAAAAATTTCTACTTTCTCTGATCACCTATTATAATTTGCTACATAGAAAAAAAAAATGCCTGGATGAATATACATATTAACAGTGGTTACTCCTGAGTAGTGGGATTACTGGGGAGAGACTTCCATTTTTACTTTACATTCTTTGAAATTATCTGTATTACTTTTGTTATAAAAAAAAGAATTTTAATGTGCTATATTAACAATCAAATTGAAGATAGGCTTGTCACCCAAACATTTCAGGCAATGGATGTGATTATCAGACTAGGAAAAAAAGAATTATTCTTTTTATTCTAAATTAAATTTTACCAATATAGCTAAAGTTTAGAAGACATCAGGAATAAAATTTTTTTCATTCACTTGTCTTCTTTCACAAGCATTTGATTACTTTATTGTATCCAGAGATTTTTGTATGCCTAATTTTTTTAAATGGATAGACTGTATTCTTGGACATAGTAGATGATCAGTAAGTGTTTGTTGAATGAATGCATTAATAAATCTTAATCCTATTCTATTTTGAAATCAGAATAACTTTTAGGATAGAAAGATTCCAGTTTGGGATCTGAAACCATTTTTTTTTCTAGTGACCTAAAAGATTTTATAATATCTCTAGAAGTTAGTTTATAAAATTCCCTGCATATTTTCAGGGAGTGGTTTATATAAGAAAAAAATATGATTTAACAAATAGGTTATGTATCATATTTCAATTTCTAAAGGAATTGTAAAATAAAGCATTTTGTGTTGACAAAGTTCCTTCACATTATTTAATTAGCTATCCCTCACAGCTACTTCTGTGATGCTATTATCCTGAGTTCAAAGGGAATGATTGAATAACTGGATAGATGAATGCTTTGCTTAAGATCCCAAAGGCAAGGAAGAGCGAAGACAGGATTTAGTGTTCATTGACCCTATCTCCCCACACTACTGCTGGCCCCCCTGAGCAGCGTTGTCTCCCCAGAACAAAGAGGTAGCACTGTGATGCTTTTTTCCATGGCAGTAAATAAGTGGGTCATTTGTTGTGGTAAATGGTTAGCAGGAAAAAACGGAAGACTAAGACAGATAAGAAATGTCCGCTTACGGTAGGTACAGTTAATATCTTGATACCTGTCTATACTAAATTTTATGATCACCATGAGCCAGTCTTCACAGTTTTTAAATGTACAAACTCACATTTCTTCTCCAATGCCAAAAGATAATTTCACTCCATTCTATGCCAGGGAAGAAAGAGAAAAAGAGAACAAATTTTTGATAAATCTGAATACAGAGATTTCTTTTCTGTATTTTATTGAATTTCACATTTTAAAATTGACGGAATGGTTCTTTAAAAAGTTGGTATTGTTAGCTATACTTTGAAGAAAGAGAAAATTAAGTTTTTGGCAGCAGGTCAGCTTTTACTAAATCTGTCTTTCTTTTGTCTTGTTACTTTTTTATTGTCCGTTTTCCTAGTTTTTTTAAAATAAACCAGTTACTGCAGGGGGAAACTTGTTTGTATGCAGAAATGAGTTTTGTTCACACTTCATTTGATGTTCACATGAATTTTATTAAATTTCCTTGGCTTTGGATATTTACCTTTCTTCATCTTTTGTGTTCTGAACAGCATTTTCCCTTCCACATACTGTTCATGTGTATAGGCATTCACAGCTGCATTTACAAACCATTCTGGAAACTAATAAAAGTTACCCTTTGTGGCACACAACTCTTAGAACACAATCCACCCCTAGTGGATGCCACGTACGCCATGCTTCCTGGTACCTCGCCGAGTCTCAGCACCTAGTGCAGGTGGCTGGCTGACACCAAAGTTGTTGAATTGCAGCTTTCGATTAATATGCACAAAATCCTTCTTGTTTCAAAGTTCTATTTAGATGAATGTTCTTTAAATGATTTCTGTTTTTTCTTTTTTTTTTCCCCTGTTCCAAAATTCTTGTTCTTGGCTTTATCTGCCTGTTTTACTGTGCTAGTATGTGCTAAGTATTTACCAGCTTGATGTCTCAGTATAACCACTAGTAAATGTACATTATTATTGTGCTAGCTCTAATTCCCTACTAAAATTTAAATATATTTGAGGTATTATTAATATTCACTTACAGTGTTCTTTTGATTCTTAATATGGAACAAATCCTGCTGGATAACGTTACATAAAACAGCAGTTTGATTTACTGAAAATAAATCTAAGTAATCAAAATTCCTACTCCTTGGGCTTATGCTTTATTTTAAGTGTCAAAATCTGCCTAGAAAAATCAACTATATTCCCCTCCCAAGTAATTAGTTATAACCAGAAATGGAAAAAAAAAATTGAAATGCTTTTATTTGAATATTGTTACAGCATTAAATAAATTTGCCATGAGTTTCTAATATAAAATGTCCAGTAGAAGTCCCTCTTTACCTAAGATGCAGCCCACTTCCAGAATGTTTAGAAAGAATTGCTTTTGGTAACTGTTACATTATTAAATTCTACCTTTCTCATTTTTTAAAGAATGCAGGTGTCACTAACTTTTATGGATATCAAAGGAAGTTTGTGGTAAAAGCATTACTGTTTCTCACTTGACTTGATTAAAATTCTTCAGTTCTCAAGGTCGACAATGACAAGTCTAGCTCCTTAGCCTAGCAGGCAAGGGATGCCTTTCCTGCCCTTCTTCCTAGTTTCCAACCTTCCTAAACACTTGCATTCTCAGAACTCTGACAGTCCCTGCTTTTATAAATGCTGAACAGCTGCAAAGAATCTCCTTCCCCCTGCCGCCCCGCAACCTTGACTTCCTCCCATTCACTCCACTAACTCAGTTGTGAAAGCTTCCCGAATAACATCCTCCTTCCTAAGTAGTCTGTGATTCCTCTAGCGCAGTGGTTCTCAAAGTGTGGTCCCCTGCAGGGATCATCAGCATCACCTGAGCACTCCTTAAAAATGGAGATTCTCAGTTCCCACTCTAGACCGACTGAATCAGAAACTCTGAGTGTGGGGCCTAATAATACCTAGTTTAACAAACCCTTCAGGTGATTCTGATCGACTGCTCTAGGACAGAAAGAGACCAGTTTACATCTATCTCAATATCCTTAGACTCTTGTTTGTTTTCATAGTAGGTGCTCAATAAACAATTTCCTAAAACTACTACCGTTTGCCCTGGAGTTGATTCCGACTCATGTCAACCCCGTGTGTGTTAGAGTAGAACTGTGCTTTATAGGGTTTTCAGTAGCTGGTTTTTCAGAAGTAGATCACTAGGCCTTTCTTCTGAGGAGCCTCTGGATGGACTCAGGTTTCCAACCTTTTGGTTAGCAACCTAGCATGTTAATCATTTGCACCACTCAAGAACTCCTTCCTAGAATTAGTTAACTAAAATAAATGTCCGAAGCCAATTTTCCCAGAGCTTATTTACTTAATGATCACTGCCACTAATGACCAATTTACCTAAATTATGCCTCCTTTAGGTGTTTTTTACATCCTTATTAGTTTCCACACCTACACATCCTTCAAGCCACTAATGAAATCTCAGCTCTCATTTGAAACCTTTTGGGATTCCCACGCACCTGACGTAAGTCATGCCCTCTTATTTGTTCGCATCGTGAGTTAGCTGTAGGTTTCTCCCATAACATTATGAAGTGCTTGTGAACAAAACTCTTATCTTTCTTGTTATGTTTATACGATGCCTTGTGCATAGTACCCATTTGATGAATGCATGTTTATTTCTGTGACAGTATAATAGAGTCGACCCTCATTATCTGCAGGGGGATTGGTTCCAGGACCCCTGGTAGATACGAAAATCAGAGGATGCTCAAGTCCCTTATATAAGATGGCATAGTATTTGCATATAACCTATGCACATCCGCCCGTATACTTTAAATCATCTCTACGTTACTTATAATACCTAATACAATTTAAATGCTATTTAAAGAGTTCTTTCATCACAGTTGAAGACTTGCTCTGGAAGGTAGCCTTTCTCTTATATGAGTTTCTTGACCTCTTCCGGAAACCTGGGCAGCAGCTGATGCCGATTTGCCCATGATCTCAAAGTTCTTGAGGCTGTAGCATTTTACACAGCTAGCCAGCCATCCCCTCCTAGCCTGCAACTCAGTTTCTCTTGCTCTCCTTAGCCCCTCATGCTTAGACTTTGAGGTACTGCTTTGACCACTTGATTGCTTTTTTAGGAATTTTTTTTCATAGAAACAAAGGGTTCACACAACACAAGTATGAACAAGATGCGAGGCGAACAATGCTCAAACAATGCTGGAGAGAGATTGAGGATCTGTGAAGTTGTGGGAGGCTACAGCAGGGTGTGCTTACAAATCACTTCATTCCTGAGGATTCAGCATAGTGCTCGTAGCGTGGCAAATTGAAGTTCTGCTTTTTTCAGCTTCCTTCTTTTCCCCCCAAATATTTTCAATCCGCAGTTGTTGAATCTGCAGATGGGGAACCCATGGATAAAGAGGGCCAACTGTATAATTGAGAGAATAGACTGAAACCAAATCTTGTGTTCAAATGCCACCTTCTTTACCTACCAGCTGTGTGACTGTGGGCAAGTTTTTTTTAAAAAACCATTCTATCCCTCAACCTCCATATCTATAAGACAGGCATAATATAATAGGACTCTCCTTATAGGGTTATGAGATGATAAAATGAGTTTCTGCACAGGAAGTGCCTAGAACAGTACCACATATATTAGCACTATATAAGGGTTTGTTATATTCCTACTTCTGCTTTCATTCAACTGTTTATCTGTTTATGTGTCTTCACTTTCTGTGTTCCTTCTTCTTACTTTACTCCCTCTGTCTCATTTGGATTTAGTATAATTATTTTATCACAAAAAAAATTACCACTTTTTAAAAGTTAAGATGTAAATAGCGCATATCCTATGGCCTAGTAATTGTCCTTCAAACATTCTGTATTAGTATTATTTTTTAATGATCAAAATATTAGCAAAAATTTATATAAAAAATTCACTTT